AGTAAGTAGGAAGTAGGAAGTAGGAAGTAGGAAGTAGGAAGTAGGAAGTAGGAAGTAGGAAGTAGTAGTAGTAGTAGTAGTAGTAGTCGTAGTAGTAGTAGTAGTTGTAGTAGTTGTAGTAGTTGTAGTAGGAGTAGCAGTAGCAGTAGCATTTGCAGTAGCAGTAGGAGTAGGAGTAGTAGTAGTAGTCGTCGTCGTCGTAGTAGTAGTAGTAAGAGTAAGAGTAGGAGTAGGAGTAGGAGTAGGAGTAGGAGTAGGAGTAGCAGTAGCGGTAGCAGTAGCAGTGGCAGTAGCAGTAGCTGTAGTTGTAGTTGTAGCAGTAGCAGTAGCAGTAGCAGTAGTAGTAAGTAGTAGTATATAGTAGTAGTGACAGCAGCAGGTGTTCGTATGAATGGACTGCCAGGGGAGTAGTAGTAGTAGTAGTAGTAGTAGTAGTAGCAGGAGTAGTAGTAGTAGTAGTAGTAGTAGTAGTAGTAGTTAGTAGTTAGTAGTTAGTAGTCAGTAGTCAATACTTCTTAGTCAGTAGTAAGTAGTAAGTAGAAAGTAGTAAGTAGTATGTAGTATGTAGTAAGTAGTAAGTAGTAAGTAGGAAGTAAGAAGTAGGAAGTAGTAGTAGTAGTAGTAGTTGTTGTTGTAGTAGGAGTAGCAGTAGCAGTAGCAGTAGCATTTGCAGTAGCAGTAGCAGTAGGAGTAGGAGTAGTAGTAGTAGTCGTCGTCGTAGTAGTAGTAGTAGTAGTAGTAGGAGTAAGAGTAGGAGTAGGAGTAGGAGTAGGAGTAGGAGTAGCAGTAGCGGTAGCAGTAGCAGTGGCAGTAGCAGTAGCTGTAGTTGTAGTTGTAGCAGTAGCAGTAGCAGTAGCAGTAGTAGTAAGTAGTAGTATATAGTAGTAGTGGCAGCAGCAGGTGTTCGTATGAATGGACTGCCAGGGGATGTCGTCGCTCATCATGCTGCTCAAGTGCGTGAGAGCCAGCTTCAACACACTGTGCTGGTCATTGAGCTTCATCGTCGTGCTTCAGTGCATGGCAGGCATGGTGGTGTCCCCAGTCTTCTGCATCAAGTTTTGGCTATTGTAAAGGCAAGGACAGGCGTCTTGTTCAATACCTTTCGTGCGAGGTCATGAGCCAGGTTCTTTGGCCGTACATGAAAGATGAGTCTGCGGACCTGGATGAGAGGAGGGAAGTCTTCAGGCCGCGAGTCTGCACACTTGCGGAGCTCAGCATCTGCACGTTCACCTCGCAGCAACCATCCAAGAGCTGCGGAGAAGTATTCCTGCACCACTCTTCGTAACCTTGTGCCTCTTCGCTATCTGTCTTGAGATACTCAGATACTATGGAACGTTCACTGGAACGTTCCTCACCATGTTCGAGGCCGGGCGCTTGACACTTCTTGGCATCCTTGGCACGGTGTGAGGAGATGTGTCGTTCTGCGAAGAAATGATGCCAGACCTACGTGTAGAGTATTTTGAAGCCCAACTCTTCATAGCCAGCTCGCATCTTTGATGCTTTGGATGCACTGCGTTTGGCAATCGCTACCTGCGACGGCACCACACAACCAAGACCTAGCAGGTGTCTTGCCATGAGGTTGCCGGTTGCCTGCTCAAGACCATGGCCTCAGATGATCTCCTTTCTGCACCGGACCGACTGACTCCTTGAACTGACATGTTTATGAAACATATGGAAGCAACACATCACACGACGACTCTCGTGGAGGAGTTTTGCTGCAGTCTGGGCGGATGAAAGTCTTAGCCTGCACGATCTTGAAATGCTTCTAGCGGCAATGTCCTGACAGCGCCCTCACCCTCATGGATTGTACCGAGCTCCTCGAAAAGGTGTTTGAAGATTTGGCATGAAACCCTTAGCAGGGAGGCTCTGTGTGGAACATTGAGGTCTTGCCCCCCTTTCCCCCGACCCCACCCCTTCCCTGACGATGTGTAGTCAAGTACTTGTAGCTGTTGTGAACTTCTGCCCTCCAACACATCGCCTCGCATATCTGTGAGCTGCGTGTGGGTCAAGCTCATATCAATGCCACAAGGACTTTCGCTCGCACATAGGGCTTGGACAAGTGTTCGCCGCGCAAAACGAGTCGCTGTTGACACATTCTATCCGAATTCGGAACCGAAACCAAATGTCGTTCTCGATGACCGTTTCGTCCAGTGGCGCTGGGTTATCCCGTTCTTCACTCCTGAGGTACCTGAAAGCAGGGCCACAGGACATTGTAAGTGCTGCACTGCAATCGTTGTGTGCCGCCTCGTGTCCTCTGAATGTTGTATAAGGAAAAGGGCTGGTTCAAGTTGTCTGGCTTGGTATCCGTTATCCGATGTATCATCCTTCCAGCTGCTTCGTGGTATCAGGTGTTGCTGGCAAACTGGGCTCCTCCGGCTCGAATCCTTGCCGCTCGATTGCTTTCAGTTTTGTGTCTCCAACTTGCTACACAAGTAAGTTCTTTACCTAAATCCTGTCCTCCCCCAGGCCAAGAGGGTTGAACCCCCGCCCCCCCCCCCCACTACGAATTCTGGCTTGGCAGTCCGAGGTGGACTACGTCAGTGACTGGTTCGTCTATGTGTTCGTCGTCTACCGCTGTGTGGTGGGGTTTGCCGTCCTGAACGTAGATACTTGCCAGCATCTTTCAGGAAAGTTCATCATGAGCTGATGGGTCAACTTCTACAAGTCTTGCTACGCATGAAGCGTTCCTATGATGTCACTGACTGTGAAGGTATCTGCTGTCTTCATTCAGCAGACGATGAAGGTGGCACAGGCAGTCGGCAGCACTCTCGCGGACAGGCTCTGCCCAGATGCTAGTGCCACGGAGGCAGATCAGGAGCTCATCTTGAAGCAGCGGCTCAGCTGCTTGGTTGCACGATGAAGACTTCGCCTAGAGACTCGGTGAGCCTCAGTTTGACCAAGGATCCGAGCAAGCGTATGCTGCGAAGATGAGATGCTCGGGCATTTTCTAAAGAGTGCAGTCACTCAATGTCAGAGAGAGGTGCTGCTGCGCAGTCGTGCGATCGCCGCGCGGATCAGATTGTGACAGCTTTGCAGGATCCCGTAGCTTTGACTTCCCGCATCTTCCCGCCATGTGCCTGGATGGTAGCAAAGGCTCCCTCTGAGCCATTGCCTCCCGAGACCCCTCGTTGGCACTTTCGTCCACCAGTCCCTGCGGGCCAGCGACCCTGGCGAAACTTCACGGAGCATTGTCGCGAGAAGATCGGGAACCGGCCAGAGATTCCACCGGCTCCAAGAGGTTTCTCCTTGGAGCCCCTGGAGTCGCGACGCGTTGAGGCGCCTCAGAGCGGGCCTGGCAAAGAAGAGGATTTCTCCGCTGCGCGGCTCTGCCTAAAGCAGGAGATTCGTGCAGCTCTGCGTCAGTGCTCCAGCATTCAGGTGCTTGATGCCACACTTGCAGCGGCCAGAGGCAAATCAAAGCCTCCACCCGAAGGCCGTGAACCCTTGAAGAAGCTGCTAGCTGTGCTGCGACCGGCAAAGCATACCAAGGCGGCACACGGTGCCCATAGAGTTGGCAAGCTAATCTCGCAGGCGCTGCGCCAGGAGATTTCCGGGTTGGGGAATGTGTGAACGAGAGGGCATTGCTCCTGCTGCACTGCCTGCAGGGATGTGCACGTTTAGTTTATAGGGTTTCCCCCAGTCGAAGCAGCCTATCCGCAGTCCAAGTCTATCCGCTTCTTCCAGGAGGAGAGCCACCGGCGCTTTTCACTGGTGCGCCAAAGTGGGCACGCGGACAGGAAGAAGGACCGTCGAAGCCCGCGAAAGGCGATCTTTCGGGGAGAGAACGAGCTGGCATCGATGCTACAGTCCTTTGAGCCGGAGGCTGCGGACCTTAGCCAACTTATTCAGGCAGCCTTTCGCCACCTTGGCCGTGGTGGGCGACTCAATAAGAAGGACCTTCGCAGGGCTTTGCGACATTGTGGCTTCAAAGATGTCAAGAGCGATTGGCTAGAAGAGATCTATGAGAGGTTGACGATGGTGAACTTCATTGGCAGTGAGGATTTCGAGAAGCTTGTGAACGAATACGATGACAGGCAGCGGCAGGGATATCTCCAAGCCTTTAGAAAGTTCGATGTCGACCAGAGTGACCAGATTTCGACGGAAGAACTCCAAGAGGCGCTTCGGAGTTGTGCTTGACATGTGCCGGTTGGCTTAGATAGAGTTCTGAAAGTCTCTCGCGCGTTCTAATTCAGCACACGCCACCAGACTTCCCCAGATCTGTGCACAAAGGAACGAAGTCAGACTGGGCGAGGTTCGCAGTCTGCGACCCTGGGGGCAGAGAGCGAGAGAGACAGCATGTGAAGTGGTGTTTAAGCAGCGTCACCTTCGAGTACGGTCGTCTGCATTGCGTGAACCGCCCTCTTAAGTCGCACGAGCTGTGGGTCGAAGTTGTATGTGGCGTGCAAAACTTCCTGTGTGATGCAGAGGTCGCAGCCAGATATTTTTGTTTCGAGATGTCCCACCGGTAGATTCATACTCTGTGGGACCCCTTGTGTCTTGCAGTCTTGCAGTCTGAGGCCTGGGAAAAACGGCAAAGACAGACGCAGAAGGAGGGCAAGAGCGAGAAGATGGGAAGCAGAGAATGGGTTGCTTTTTTGTCAAACAGATGGGAGACAAGTGCAGCGATGCTTGAATTCGGTTGGAAGTGAAGTTTGAGTCTTAGTTCGCAACATGGTGCCGCTCAGCTACGATTCTGCAGCTACAATTCTGATCGTTCGTTCCACCTGGTATAGGTTTTTGAGTTTACTCCTGATCATTTCGCATTGGTAGCCTTGACGGAGCGGAGCGTCGTGAGGAGATGGCAAGTGGCACTATTGTTTTTTTTTTGGTGCGTCCTTGCTCCGGAAGCACCTGCTGAACTCTGTTCCAGCCTTTTTGCCACCAGAGTCTGATTGGAAATCCGCGTCGACTACGTGTAGAATGCAGGATATGTCAGCTGAATGATGGCGGGGAGAGTGGATGAGGGGTTCTAGTGTGCATTAGCACATTTAGCAGCCTTGAAGCACGACAGGGCACTGAGACAAATTAAGGTTTTATGGGTTGGGCCTCTGCATGGAAGTCTTGCATGTCGGAACATGACCTAATTAGATGGATCCTTGTTGTGACATGGTGCTCGACGCTACGTCGCATCAAGTCGGATGCACCACGGGTCTTTGTATGCATATCAGTGCCTTTCAGTTTGGCACACGCCTCTTTCAAGGCGCTTCAAGTCCCATAGGAGTGTTCAAGCGCTCTGATGAGTGAGTTGCACGTATGTATGCTGCCTCAGATGTGTAAGGTATGGGGTGGTAAGCATTGGTGCAGCACTGGCTTGGCGAATGGTCGTTCGTGCCCCGACTCTCGTTCGATGTGCAAGAACCCGCCAGAAGACATGCTCGCAGCATCCGGTCCAGTGTTTGGAGGGATTCTGTCCGCGTTTCTGAAATGCTAAATCAGCCTTCTGGTGGCCGAAGCATTGGTAAAAGCACGTATGTCGAACTGCCCTGGAAGGTAGCACTCGGCAAATGGATCTCAAGTTTGTTGGGCCAGCGTTTTCTTGTTCTAGCCAGTGCTAAGAAGACGAAACTTGGCAGGGCTTGCATGGGCTTGCGAGAAGGCATGGTGCGTGGATGCCGGACGGTTCGGACGGAAAACAAGTATTTTATTGAGGACACTACCGACATGTATTCAGGAAAGATGTACAAAGTGCTCGACACAAGATTTCGTGAGAGTTGTTCTTGCTATTCACTGCTTCTCGTCAAACTTGGTGTCTGCACCTGGGTCGAGGATCATTCGATTTGAAAAGTAGTCTTTTGCTGCGTAATGAGCCGAATCAGCCCTCATGCTGGGGGATGTGTCTTTGTAAGACTGGCGTGTCTCTGTGTGTGTGTGTGTGTGTCCACCCGCGAGGGCCTCTGGGTGTGCGTGGGATCATTATGTCTGAACCAGTAAGTTGCACAGGAGCACTGCCTTGCTGGAGTGCACACTGATTACAGCACCTGACAAAGAGCTGAGTGGCTGAAAACAGCTGGGCGTTGTAGGAAGCTTCGGCTCACCTGGTCAGCTCTCCTGCCACTGCAGGTCTTGCGGTCCATGCAGCTGGTGGTGCAGCCCAGCTTGTTGCTGGAGATCATGAGGAAGGTGGATTACGATGACTCCGGCGAGTTGTCCTTCGACGAATTCGAACAGCTGATGAAGTTGCTGAGCGACTCTGATGGCTTCCCGGAGACTGAACACCAGGAGCTCAAGAAGGCCTTCCAGCGATTTGACAGCACCGGGGATGGCCTGCTCGACTTGCAGGAGCTCCAGCCGAAGCACTCCCAGCCATGGCTTGCACCTTTTTGTTTACCAGTGTGTGGAAACCTGTCTTCACCCTGCAATCTTTTCGCGAGTTTTGCCAGGAGTTCAAGAGCACGCAGGGCTGGCTCGGCTACCAGCTGAAGGAGAGAGTCCTGGAACAGATCTTTCGAGATGCGGATTTCGACGACCGGGGTACCCTCGAGTACCCGGAGTTCGTTGAAGCCATGAAGGCAGTTCGCGAAGTCGAGATGAAAGAGATCCAGAAGGTTTTCGAGGAGCAGGATCAGGATCGTAATGGCTTATTGTCACCCACGGAGCTGGAAGGTGCCCTGAAAGTCCTAAACTATGATTGCGACTTGCAGGTGGTGCTGGAGGTTGCGGCGCAGGTACAGGATGCCAAAGGGGGGCCCAAACGCCTGGAGCTGAACTACGAGGATGCATTGGATTTCCTGCAAAGATACCGAAACTGCGAGGGCTTGAATCAAGCCGAGCTCCAAGACCTCGAGCTGGCCTTCGAAAGATACGAAAACGATGCTGGTTCCGTCCGTTCCCGCGACGTCCACAAGGTCCTAAGCTGGTTTGGCTATGACCTTTCCCCGCAGGAAGTGGATCGCTTCGTGCAACAAGCGCAGTGCAGCGACGGACATCTGAGCTTTCAGGAGGTCAAGAAGCTCCTGCGCATGGAGCGGGAGGAGGCTATGCAGCAGTACGAGAGAGTTTACCGTCGAGACCATGGCGCGATGGAGATCGGTAGTCAGCAGGCTGCCTTGCTTTTCGAAGAGCTGAACTTGGAAGCACGAAGTGCGAACTCCAACTTTGAGTTGGGCCTTGCGTCCGCTTTCCGCAAAGGTGGTGCGGGGTTCTCTCCGGAAAGCTTTGTTCGAACCTGCCTGAAGCGGCGCAAGGGCAAGGCTCAAGATCGGAGGACAACGGCTGGTTTTGACAAGGAGATTGGGCAGTTGAAGGAGCTTTTCGTAAGCCTTGCCAAGGGCCCCCAATCAGCCCAGCGCCGAAGGGATCCAGACTTAGCGCTCTCTGCCGAAGAGGTTGCACATGTTGCCCGGATCCTCTTTTCGTTTGGAGTCGTGGAACCTTTAAAAGCAACCTTGAGTGAGCTCCTTCGGGATGTGGAGCGTAGACCGCCCATCACGTTCAATGCTTTTCTGCGCCACATGCGCTTCTTTGTCGACTTGTTTGCAAAGGATTACAAGTTCCGGGAGCAATGGGCAATCCGAGACACCGGCTTCTCTGCTAAGGAAGTGGAGGACTTCCGCCAACTCTTCCTTTCCAATCTGGAGCACCGGGAAGGCCTGGTCTCCATCGGACAGCTCATGTCTCTGCCAGAATTGCGCCGAGCGCTGCCGGCCTCTGATGCCTCCCTTGGTGCCGCCGTGCACCAGGTGAAAGGTGAATCTCTGCAGCTCTTAAACGGCACTCCCAAAGCAAAGCTGGAGGATAAGAACGCGGTGATTAACTTCCCACAGTTCCTGCGGATTGCCAAGCAGTTGCTGGAACAAACGGCCAAAGACCAAAAAATCCACGGGCTTCGGGAACTCAAAAAATCGTTCACCCGCAGCCTCAGCAAATAGCTGCGCTTGGCAAGGTATTTCCAGGCCAATCTCGGAAGACCGATGCCCGCCTGCGTGGAAAATCCATGACGGCGCTGGCTCAGGCTCCTATGACAAGAGATGATTTAGAGGGCAAAGCGGCTGAGCCGCAGAGTCCCACTGTGGAGCCAGGAGAAAGATGCGCGAAGCGACCCGTCAAATCCATAAAGGTCATCTCAGGCGGACATGGTGTCTTGTTGTCCAACACTCGTTCCAACCTTCAACGTTAAACTTGAACCCAAAGCAGTCATGACCTCCTTCAGCTCAGTCCGAGCTCGGACCGCCTTCAAGCAGGAAGCGTGCTGATGCATTGTCTGAGTGCCAGAGGGGACTGCTTTGTATCCGCCTTCTCTCATGATAACCCTGTCCTGAAATAACTTTTTCGGAACCCTGCCAGGGCCAGGATCTCCCGAAAATGTGCCAACACACTTGCAGTGGTAGGGGAAGCTTCCATTCTTGTCTTTGTCATTCGCATATTGCAGCAGGACCCTTGGGAACAAGGCGGGAAGATGTACCGTAAGTGTCTGAGGAGAGTTCTTCGACAAGTTGGACACCGACAGCACGGGCTTCTTGACATGGCAGGACGGCAACTTAGCACTCTGCCAGTGCTTTTTACTGGTCAGGCCGTGTAGATACTTCACGCAGCGCCGAAGCGTGCCCGTGCGCCAGCCTAAACTTCACTTTGAGATGCTGCGTGCCTTCGTTCGGGAGAATCGTCGAAACCCCTGTGTTTTTGCCGTCTTGCAGGAGTTTAGCGAGGTCCTCCGAAAGCCTGAGCTGCGATCCTGGATGGCAACCTTGGAGCTTGAGACCTACGACCTGGTGAACCTGTTTCACATGATCGATGACGGCTGCTCGCTTTCGTAAGGCAAGTCAGGACCAGCTTCTGCCCTGAACCCTCAGCCCTAAAACCTAAACTGAGTCCAATGTCTCAGGTGACGGCGCTATCACCGTGGCAGAGTTCCTCGATGGAGCCATTCGCCTGCGAGGTGTGGCGAAAAGCCTGGACCTGGCGCAGGCCGGTGCTTTCCTCGTTCCGAGTCCCTTCCACTAGTGATGTATACATATGATATAATGATCTATCTATCTATCTATCTATCTATCTATCTATCTATATACACACATGTATATATATATATACATTTAATATTAAGAGTAACTGTTATATTATGATAGTAAATCGTATATATACATATATATATATACATGCACACACATATATATATATATCATGTATATATATATGTATATATATATATGTACATATAAACATACAAACGAACATGTATATATATATATGTTGTGTATACATACATACATATATATGATATATACATATATATGTATACATATGTATTTGTATATATATATATACAGATATATATATATATATTAAAATATGAAACACACACACATATATATATATATACACATATATATTATGCATGTATATAGTTGTATATATACACATAATTATAATATTCAGTGTGACATTATGAGGAGGCAGAGATGGGCAGATTGCGTAGGTATGACGATATGCGATGGTCAGTCATGCCATCACAACTACTCACTCCTGTGAGCGACATGCTGGTAAATGCTTTCTACTAGTTCTGCGTGATCAACGATTTTGACCCAGTTCTGTTATTTTTGCATGGGCTTGGCCAGGTACTCAGCACCACCCGAAGGGTGGACGCCAAACTCGAGGTGTCACCGTCCGGAGATGAGTCTGTTTCCTTCTTCCCACCCCGCATTCTGCTCTGGTAGCCTCCGGAATCCGAGACGCAGGCGTGCCTCATGGCCATCCAGAAGTTGTCGGGCGAGAACGACATGGAAAGTTTGAAGAAGACGGCACCTGGTCTTGAAAGCAGCCGTATCGAGCTGCAATCTTGCCATACAGCTGCCATCGTGCTCTGCCACTGTGCAATCTCCGCCCCATCTCCAGATATTTTTGCCGTCTTGAGCTTCGGGCTGGATAGTTGTAGTTGGCTTCTTTCGGCAACCCATTAAGACCAGACAGACACGTGGAATGCCGTGAAGCTATTGATTTCAATCTGTACATTCCTACCCTTGCCTTCTTCCAGCGCTCCGAGGCCTTCGGAAAGATGTCAAGATTGACGACCAGACGAATGTCGTTGCACAGGCGGCATTTGGAACCCTTCACATGACGGAGAGATCCTCTGCGGAACCATGCCTCTTCATCTGCTACCGGGACTTTTGAAGCCTCCTGTCAGCCCTTCAACCATCGACATGCACTCCGCATAGCCGACAACCCGATATAGCACCAACGGTGCCTTCGTCCTCAGCATAGCTTACAGCATAGCTTACAGCCCAGCTGCGGTCGGAGCATGCGTCACAATGGGATGGCAGGCGAAGCGCGCCGGTGGGGCATATCGGTGCCTCTGCTGTCAATATACTTTCACCAGGATGACCCTACCCTACTACCTCTGCTGTCCTGGGGACCAGCCTAGAATGTGGCTTTTTGCTTCCACTTGCTGAAAGGTTGCGCTAAAGTGCCAGTGGCTGCCAGTAGCACGAAAATTTTTCGGCAGACCCAGCACTCAGAAAGTTGCTGAAGCTTTGGATGCAGGAGTCGAAAGCAAAACGCTCAAAAAGGAAGCCGCAGACTGAAGAAGGCCTCGGGGGTTTGCTCAGCTTGAGCCACTGGTCCTTGGTGCCTAGACTGTTTGAAGCTAACGGTGCCGAGGTTCGGAAGCTGTGATTCTTTGTAGGCGCTCTGCGTGCTTGTGAACCAGGTTTGCCTTGCGTGCACCCGCACCAGTGAGAGTGATATTCGAGCCGTGCATGATTGTGCAATTGAGCGTTGAAAAAAATTCGGCATCCTCGGAATGAGGAAATTGCCTGTTCATAATGCGGCTTTGTGTGTGTTGGTGATGGTAGTGCATGGCTGACAGGGCCTGAACCTACCTTGAGGCTCTCTTGTAGCTGAGCTCTAAACCATATCACATCATTCTCCGAGCTTCGACGCTTCAGAACCCTGATACATACGTCTTGGCTGTCACCTCGGGAATCGGAAAGTCGAGCCCCCTACCAGCCTGGAGAACCCCTGGCCGTGGCAACAGTACTCATGGCATGACTCATAGCAACAACATGAGACATTATAATTCCATTGCTGCTTCTGCTCGCTCCCTCTCTTCTCTTTCTCTCTGCGCTTAGATGTATTCATACACCAATATATGTATATCTAATATATATATATATAATATACGTGTATACATATATATTATATACAGATAATATTCAGATATACATACATACAGTACCTGCCTACCTACCTACCTACCTACCTACCTACCTACCTACCTACCCACCTACCCACCCACCCACCCACCCACCCACCCACCCGCCGAGCTAGCTAGCTAGCTAGCTAGCTAGCTAGCTAGCTAGCTACCTACCTACCTACCTACCTACCTATCTACCTACGACCAACCCACGACATACATACATACATACATACATACATAAATACATACATACATACATACATACATACATACATACATACATACATATGAGTACATCACGCATGTATGCATCGTATGCATGCATGCATGCATGCATGCATGTATGTATGTATGTACGTATGTCAGGTATGTATGTACGTAGGTGTGTATGTATGTATGTATGTATGTATGTATGTATGTACGTATGTCAGGTATGTATGTACGTATGTATGTATGTATGTGAGATGACCGCCATGCAACATGCATTGTGCCGGGTGTTCGAGTTGTCTGCCAGAGGCAGTAGCACCGCCATTACAGCGTCGGAAAACACAGTGGTACGACTAGGATCGAGGTGTCTCGGATGCCTGGCTCAGTCTCCGCCACAAAAGGCATTCTTCCCACGGCCGTGCAAGGGGAACCATGCTGTGGATGTCGCATGCTGGAACTGCATGCCGCGTGCATTGCAGTGTCGCAGGGATTCAAGTCTTGCGACAAGTGACAGGTGGGCTGACAGACACACTGTCTCCGTCAGCGCAAACATTGACTCGAGCATTGCTGGAGGTCAGTCTTAGCAGCGTTGGGGAGTCCATGCACGCTGAGCTCCTGCTTGAGAGTTTAGTCGACACACACTGGACACTTGCTGCCATTGGGAGGCGGATCTTTCAAAGAGGCTTCCCGTTCAGGGAACGGCAAAGCACGAGTTCTTCGAGGCCGTTGGATCCGTTGCTTGATGGGATCGTGAAGCCCTGGTACACACAAACACTCTAGCAGACAGTGCAACAGAATCTACCTATAGTTTTCATTGTAGTTCCTTTTGTAGTTACCGAAGTTACCTCATAGGATCCTACATATATACGTAGTTGGTTAAACAAAACGAAGGAGCTACAATGGAGACTAAAGGCGCTGGACGCATCTGAGCTCCTGCTTCCTGGCTTGTCAGGGCCTGGACGTCTTCACCTTGTACAGGAGGCAGGCATCTTAAGAAGACTCGATACAGGGAGCAGCCAGCTTCCAAGAAGTAGCCAGTTTGAATAATGCAACATGAGGTCGCGTATTGCATATTGTGGCAAGACCCCAAACACTGAAAGAGCACTTAGGTAGCCTGCTGCTCCGACATCTATTGTCCAAAATGCACAGTTGTGACCCAGAACGCCCACTGCACAGCGGTGGCAACACGAGAGGCGCCCCAAATTATGAGACTTTGGAGGCAGGGAAAGTAGGAGTCGCAAAAAAGTATGCAGGGCCCAGAGCACAATTTCGGGAGAGGGAACACATGAGACTGTGGCGGGAAAATGATGCGCACCCGAAAATACGGAAGGCACTGTCGCAGGAGCACGATACTCTCACAGACAACTTGATAAACCAACTGATAAGCACGCGCACCTCTGCATGCCTGTGCTTTGGCCATCTTTAGCCTAATATAAAGGGCCGTGGGTGGTATGTTTGCACTAGTGGTGGGCGAGCCAGACTTGGGCAGCTGCAGCCGAGGCCACGTGGACCCGAGCTGCCAGAAATCCAACCGAGGGGTCCCAAGGCACTGGCCGGTTAAGTCTTACAACGCTGCCACTCCAAAGCAGCCTTCACAACTGTTGCAACTGCCTTTGCTTGTCCCACTCGTATGATTTTAGCAGCTCTCAGTTCTAATTTGACGGAAGTGCCAGGATCCAGGCGGTGACGAGCGATGGAACCGCAGGCTTGTGGCGTCACTGCCAGCCTTGTGTCGTCAGAAGACCCTCTAATGAGGGCCTGATGAGGTTCTTCATGAGCAAGATACACCATGGATGCGCTCACTTGTTGTGTTTGCGAGGAAGTTCTCCATGATATGGACGGTGATGCCATCTGCACAGGACCCACACAAGCAAGATGCAGCCTCAACAGACATGTTGATCGCACAGTCGAGTGACAGAGCAACTGCGTCATTTTCCACCAGGCTGCTGGCCTCGAAGTTCAGTTTCAGTCTCAAGCTCGCACGGGATAAGTTAGAAGGGAAAGCCACCCCGTTCTGGCAGAGGCGAAAATGTACCCGATTTTTGTCCGGGTTGGGAGGTGCAGCCTCGCAAATTCCAGCTGCAAAAGCCAGCAAGCCAGACGCAGAAGCCCAATTTGTTTCTTAGAAAAACTCGGAGGTGTCATCTCGTGCCACTCTGCAAGTGTGCGCGGCAAGCCGCAGTTTGCTTTTGAGCAGGGGGCGCTCATTGCCGGTGCCAATCAGCATGAAATCGTGGCAGTCTACCGCGCGTTCGCCACAAAGCAAGCATAGTCGCATGTTCGGCAAACACCAAGCGAGAATGTGCTGATCGCAGTCACACGCAGGGCTTCCTACCAAGCACGTGAGGAAGTGCTGGCACTCCGAGCTGTGAAGGCCAGCAGTGTGATGACCATGCTGAATCTGAAGTGCAGGATTTTGTTCCTCCAAAAACCTTCGGCGTGGAGTCCACTGCCACTCTGATTCAAGAGGCAGGCTGACCTTAGCACAAGTGCCACACCTGGAGCAGAAGAGATGTTCCTGGGTTCAGAGCTGCAGCTTATCAGTCTTGATCCTAGAGTATTGCAGCACACACTGGTACAGGGAAGATATTCGAAGTGATCTTCAACAGGCTTGCATTCAGTGAGGATTCAGTTTGCGGTCATCTTTGGCATGCTATGAAACCCAAGACCATCACGACCAACGCATAAGGCATAAAAGGCACTCGGTGCTTTCTTCTGAACCCTACCGTGCCTTGCCCCGCGCAGACGGATGCTGAATGCTTTGCACCATTTGGTGGAGAGGACGCTGCCGGGTTGCTCTTGGCTCTTGCATGTGAGCTTGGACTTGGGCCTGGGGTCTTGCCGCATCCATTTGTGTCCTTCCTTATCTGCTCCAATCTGAGTTCTAAAGATCCCATACCGAACATACACCGTCTTGTTCCCGCCTGTCAGGAGTCAGACAGGGTTGTTCCGAGTCATCGAGTGGAGTCCCTCTGAGAGGGGAATCGCATACTGGACATCGGGTCTTTATTCCCGCTTCGTGCAAACTGGGCCCTCGGCTGTGGTGCAACGACGCGGATCACAAGTAGTAGCTGATAGTAGCTGCAGGCTAGCCGGTATCTTTGGTGGCTAGGAGGCACGAGACGGCAACTTGTTGCTTCTGGTCGCGTAAGAGCTTCGCGAAGGAAGCATCCTTAAGGTATTGCCAAGTAGCCGATGTGAGGCTATGATGACAAGGCAAGTTTTACACCACTGACGCTCGTTTGTACAGCTCGGCAAATCGTGGGGAACCGAGGAATGCAGTGGTATTCGTCCGGGGATGCTGTCCTCTGCAACTGCCACGTGTGCTTCGATCTGCAAAAAGGATAGAGCTTCTCTCGCTTCTCTGCCCTTCCATTTGTAAGTCGCGGATACCCCGCAAGTAGTTACGTAGTGTAGATAAGGGACAGTGGCACTCCAAGTGTAAAACTCGAACGTGCAACGAAGCGCTGTGTGTTCTTGCCAGCGCTGGAATGGCGGATATAAAGACTTCTTTTCTTTGGCATAGATGTCGTCGGCGATGATGTGGTCAGGTGATGCTGCGCCGAATTTGGCTCATCTTCATATCACGAGGACTGGCAGAAATAATCGCATCTGGCCTACTTTTCCCCCCAATAATTTTTCTGACCCCCTTCCCCTCCTGGCCCGGAGATATGGAGCAGACACCAAGACGGTCTTAATAAAGATCCCCACAGATCAGGGGTGCTTGCCAAAGAGGGAAATCTGTATTAAGAACAATTGAGACGCGAAATGATGAATTTTGTTATCTTCATATCTTTCTCTTCGTAGAGGCCACTTTGAGGGTTTCTGTTAATTAGAACGATATCGATATCTTTCGAACGAGGATATTTCAGCTTGCTTGGTATGATGAGATTTGATTGGTTCTTCGATTGAAGATTATCTCGTTTATTTTTTTGAATATAAAGATATTTCGTGAGAGAGATAATTTTCTTTTTTTTTAAAAGATTTTCTGTTTTTCTTGATATAGTATGATATTCTATACCGGCGGTTAAAATTAAATAAAATAAAGATAATATATAGATTATTGGCTTTTGAATTAAGAAAAATTGAAATTTAATTGAATTTAGAATTAGAGGAAACATATTTCTGGAGACATTTATTTCTTATTTTAGAGTTTATAATTTAGATCGTCGAAAAAATATATTGGAATATTATAAGTTAAATAATTTGATTTTACAATATATATTAGTATTTCTATTCTTAGATTTCTTTATATATATATATATAGATAAAAAGAAGCATTTATATTATCTTGATTATTATTCTAAATATTATTTCGAATAATTATGATATCTAAATTTAAATTGTCAAAATTTTGAAATCTTCTCTTCTTAATATTTATTATATAGCATCAAAATATTCAAATTCATGATTCTTATAATATTCAAAATATTTCGTTGATAATTGGGAATATATATAGTTCTTATTGTAGGAATATTGGAATCTTCATATCTTAATAATTTTTTCTCTTTTTTAGAAGCATATTTGCCCATCCCTCTGCTTCTATATTAACGGATCCTAGATATAATAATAATTCGATCTTGGTTACCATAACTTGATTTTTCATTATCATAATCCTGGATCTAATTTTCAGAATAATTAGCTTCTGGAAAATCACCTTGTATAAATCTATTATATTGTGGTCAGCATAATATTTACTAAGGGTCCATTTATTATGGTCTCCGGGCTTAGTATCATAATAGCCAAAGCTCAATTATTATGGTTGCCAAAATCCATTATCATAATAGTCAAGATATATTGTTATGCTTGTGGCACGGGATCAATTATTATAATAGTCGAGATCTCAATTATTAAAAATTTGCAAAATTCAAATAAATATAATAATGAAATCTATTCAATATTATAATATATAAAAATAAAATAAGATAAATTTATTATTAATATAATGAAATCCAAATAAATATCACAACGAGATCTATTAGATATTATAAATTTTCATAGAAAATGATTTTATTATAATAAAATTTAAATTAATACATTCTAATTAATCCTATAATTATATTTATTTAAAATTATAATAAATCGTATAAATTTTCTA